TTTCTATTAAATAATCTGAAATCATGTGAAAAAAAATGTTCATAAACGAGTTAACATTTGGAAAATAAACAAATTGTAATAATTATATAACGTAGCGGAAAATATTAGTAATATGTATGTTAATATCATTTATCTCAATTATCTTTATCGTACATTTAAAGGGCACCAGAATAGAGAGCAATAAATATCTCTTCAAATAAATTGATAATCTTTGATGACATCTGTGTTGTAAGACAGTGTAAATTATGTTTCATGCAAATAATGTAAATTCCAGTAGAATACGATATACAGTAAATTCTCCCTAATTTTCCTTCAGCTTGTAAACAAAAATGGACAATTTGGAAAGAAGAGATACGATTATTTGAGTCTTGCACCTCGTTTTTATAATTGTTGACAATCGGCAACTATAAGAATGAGCCACGAGGCTCGAATAATCGTATCTCCTCTTCTCAAATTGTCCATTGTTTGTAAACTGAGGGAAAAGTGGGGAGAATTTGCGGTAGTTGAAATAGTCATCGGCCAATTGTTTGCTTGGAATTTATGTTCAAAACAAACAATACAGTTGACACATCAACAAAAGAAATGAAAGCGAAAAGAAAGAGTTACTCATCGACAAGATAATCCTCCGAATGTCACAACTCACCCTGTCATATTTTTACGGCTTTACTTGGATATACCTGGATGACCGTCTCAGTCGAAATGCATTAAGATAAGGAGCACAAAATATGTCATATTCAGTAAAAGATATGCAATATAAATACTCAAATATTCTTCCTTTAATAGATGACAAAAATTGATAAATATGTAATATGATAATTATATACATTTTCCTTACAAATGACAACGTATGCTTGTCAAGTATACTAATAATCATAGATGAAATACTTTAAAAATACGTATAATAATTATTACAAAAAATTATAATAATTTTCTCTTGGAATAAAATTAGTTAATGAAAAGAACTTATTAAAAGTCGTATCAATTATGTAGCCATTAATTTATTAATTATATATTGTTCAATTGAATTCTTTTTTGTTTTCAAAAATTAACATTAGTCTAGTTAAAGGTATTGATTTGTCTGAAACATTTTAAAAAATAAAAATTGTTACAAATAACTCTCGACTGCAAAAATCTCGATTGCAACAAGCAACAATTGAATAGAAATTTTTTTCCATTCTTAATATTTTTAACAAATTGCAATCAAGCCAACAGCATTGTTTATCCCATGCATTTCTTGCTTTGTATTCCACCTACTCTCATAAATGCATGAAAATTCACAGTTTGCTTATGATAATAACGAAGAACAAAATCACCAGGCCTTTCATCATGTCATTCGAATTACATCTGGCAATAACAAGCAACCGTCCGAATACTATTTTACGGTAGTACATCTATTTCGAAACTTTGTTATCGTACGCGTGCGCGCGCACGACGAAACAAATCCAAACTAATTTCTGAAATGTTCTTTCATCGTCGCATACAAAAAGCACACGCATCGAGAAACACAGATTTATTATCTCAACAAACACGATAATCAAGCTGTTCTCGTCAGGCTTCTGGACATGCATATCATGAACGATCTTATTTCACGACGCACGATTCGGATGCGAATCTTGTATTTCAGAGGATGAACCACCCGCGCCTATAATGCCTCTATTGTTGTCTCTGGCCTAAACCTTGGATTTGCAAATAAACGTGGTTGAATACATTTATCTTTACCATACGTACCCGAAAGTTTCCGAAAATATTGAAACTGTGATAAACGTTTCATTATCGGATGCATCCGGATGTGATACGTCATTTTCAGCTGGGTTTAACGCTATTTTTTTAAAAATATAAATCAGTATTTTATATCAGCTCGATAATTTTCGATTTAGGCGAACTTCAATTTTTCTGCTAGCATATTAAAAGAATAGTAAATTACTTAATTTGAATGGTAAAGTTATATTTTTTAACGAGGATTCCTTTAAAATTGATCATGCACTATGTTTCTATTATTAATTATTGTGGTCATTACAGAAGTCGATTAAGATCAAGATTCAATATTGTTATATAAATGTAAATAAGTGCATTACTGTATAAGAAAAGAATCTGACATTTTAGAAAAAAGTAAAAGAAATATTAAAATGAAACATAGGTATTAAAATGATATTACTACAATGTTTATATTATTTCTATCTGTGATGGGCGACACATAAGATTGAAAGATTAAGATGCAATTCAATATAATTTTTCAAAAAGTTTCAATCCAAATTTTGAGACT